TCTATTCTTTGGTTGAACATTACACGACAGATATAAAGTTTGTAGAGAAGTTCGTGGTATTAACATTCTTATTGTGGTATAGGTCCAGCGTTTTAAGAAATAATATTATGTCATCTATTTTTACTTCTCATACACGTTATTTATATTAAAGTATTTTATCTTGAGAGAGTAATGTCTGAATTTCCTCGTACTTATTATTTTTAGGATAGTTTCGTATGAGTAGAATATCTATTCTTTGTAAGAAAAAAAATTGTAGATCAGGTTTCAATAACGTACTTTTTAAAAAGAAGGCTTGTAGAGAGTCTGGTTTCATTGTTGTACTTTTTTCAGCTATACAGTTTGTAGAGAAGTTAGTGGTATTAACATTCTTATTGTTGTATAGGTCCAGCGTTTTAAGAAATAATATTATATCATCTATTTTTACTTTCTCATACACGTTATTTATATTATAGTATTTTTATCTTAAGAGAGAAATGTCTGAACCCTCGCTGAATACGACTTCATCTTCTAAAAGTAAAGTATGGCAACAAGTCTAAGGGAAGAAAACAAATTTGCATAAGAAGTTATAGCGTCACAAGCACCCATAACTGTATTAATGGAACGACAGATTCTTTTGTTAAACATTACATGACAGTCTTACCCTATTTTTATTATCAATAGATTATTCTGAAACACATATTTGAAGACAATAGTCCAGTTTGATTTCCTTTTCATAAAGTCATATTTCAGTAGGTTATGGATCTCCGCAAATTTCTTTTTTTATTAGATGGTATGAGTTTATATACATATAAACACCTCAATAGCTTATGTCATGTCGGCAAGATTTATATTATAAGTTGGTATGAACATAACATTTATTCTTTGTAAGAAAGCAGTTTAAGATCAAGTTTCTTTGACGTATTTCTGTAAAGAGGGTATATCTCGAGAGTCTGGTTTCATTGATGTATTCGTTTCAGATATAAAATTTGTAGAGTAGTTAGTTTTATTGATATTCTTATTTTGGTATAGGCCCTGTGTTTTAAGAAATAATATTATATCATCTATTTTTGCTTTCTTATACACGTTATTTATATTAAAGTATTTTATCTTGAGAGAGCAATGTCTGAACTTCCTCGTATTTAATATTTTTAGGATAGTTTCGTATGAGTAGAATATCTATTCTTTGTAAGAAAAAAAATTGTAGATCAGGTTTCAATAACGTACTTTTTAAAAAGAAGGCTTGTAGAGAGTCTGGTTTCATTGTTGCATTCTTTTCAGCTATACAGTTTGTAGAGAAGTTAGTGGTATTAACATTCTTATTGTGGTATAGACCCAGTGTTTTAAGAAATAATATTATATCATCTATTTTTATTTTCTCATACATGTTATTTATATTATAGTATTTTTACCTTAAGAGAGAAATGTCCGAACCCTCGGTGAATACCACCTCATCTTATATATAAAGTACAGTATATGTACGTGTCCAAGTAACTCATCCGCTCCCATTGGTACGATTTCAATGATTCATAGCTCATTCAAAAGCCCTAGAAAAGTTAGGCACTGGGTATATTTTTCCTTCAGATCAGATTCAGGGTTGCAAGATTATGCGAGATTAAAAATATATATTTATATATCATACTAGCCATTATCGTTGTTTTCATGGTTCAAGGGGAGTAACTCTTATTACCCTTTTGTATCCAAAATTGCAATGTGCCGTTTATTAAAAACTAGCTTAAAAGCCGCCCTATCTGGCGGCATTTAAGATAGCTCCTGTCGATGACTCTTAGTTTGGTCATCATTACAATAGTTAGCGAGGATTAGATGCGATAGGTATTAATATACTACAGAAGAACTCAAAATTGATCGCTGCATTTAAGTATTGAATTCAAGTTTAAGCATACCTTTTAAAAGTTCAACGATGCTGTCACTTAATTTAAAAAAACAATTTGATCTACGTAGATCAAACAAACAATTATTTTTATTTCAATTAAGACAGAACAGCGGACAAATTAAAAGATAAAATTAATATAGTGTAAAGAGGGAAAAATAGAAATTAGAATTAGCTATACATTCAACATCTGAAGAGTTAGAGAAACATAATAGCTAATTAAGTAAAACTTATATTATGAAATTTATATGAATAAATGCTAAATTAGAGTTCAAATCTCACATGAATTCTGGTGTTAAAAAGTCCCAGCTCTAATCTATAGTAATTTATACGCTAAAAGCTCAAAATCTGCATTATATAGTATCTACTTCTAGGTAATATCACTCTTCAAGTTTAACTAGTTTGCATATTCATTTAAAAAAATAAAGTTTATTTCATTAATTAACTGTCCTTCATCACTGTTCTGGTATTCAATGATTGTTTTTATTTTCGTATCAAAAATAGTTCTGTTTTGGAATATCGGCTTATATAGTGCAGATAGGTATTTGAAATTTGCATTTTACTTGGCCTTCAACAAGTTGGCATCTATTTGTAAAACATTCCTTAACTATAACAAGTCAAATCGTATCCCATTACCATTTCTATTATATCAGTAAGATTTACTTGTTTGTGGGTGTGGCTTTATATTTGTCTTATATTTTTGTGTTATATATATTCTTTGGATTTATGGGGCGTTGTACTCATAAGCATATTTAACTTCATGGGTGGTTTGTTTTATAGGTTATCAACCTCAATGGATAATTTAATACAATATGTTTGGGATAGATTCTTATGAATAGAATATATATTCTTTGTAAGGAATCAGTTTGTAGATCAGGGCTGATTAACTTATTTTTGTAATGAGGGTTTTGTCGAGAGTCAAATGTTTTGCTGCTATTTTTTTTTTTCAAATCTCCGTTGTTGATAATATTTTTTTTCAAATTTAACCCCAGTGTGGCAGTTACCTATTTTCCGAGATCTGGTACCCTAACAGGGGCTGCCACACCGGGTCAGGGTGTGCTTAGAAAGAACAGCAACTAAAAGGTGAATCCATGATCCTCAAAACCTCGCGATCAGAAACATTGCTGCCGGATGTAGTTAATCGTCATACACCGGAAGTTCTATATTCGAGGCTTACGGCCACGTCAGATTGAAACACCCGTTTCCGTACGATTATCGAAGTTAAGCAATGCCGAGCTTGGCCAATGTCTGGATAGCTGACCACTTGGGAATACAAGGATTTGTGAGCTTTTATGTGCCGGGGGTGTAATGGATAATGGCTCGGAATTGTTAATCGGAGAGCCGAGTTCCAGCTGGGTTCGTTATATTCATTTACACGTAAATACTCTTGGTAAAATGTATGAATCTATCTCTTCTCCCTCTATCTATAGGTTAAATTGTAAGACTTGTATCACTAAAATCTTTATTATCACAAAATATAAAATAAAATAAATAAAAAAATATTGTATGTAAAATATTGAGATTTCGGTATAAAAACAAGATAGAGATGCAACCAAACGATCGATTTTTTTTTTTTTAACTGATTTTTGAATTGTTATGAATCTTGCAAGAAGTAGTTTGTCCAGAGTCTGGATTTAAATTTTTTTTTTCTGGCTGCTATTCAAAGCTATAAGGTTCAGAGTACCCTGGTATATCGCTGGAGGTGGAGGGAAGAAAAGGATTGCTTAATTTCCTAAGGGCATTTATGGGCAAAGTGAAGAAGCTCGGGATTTGAAATCAACTCGCCGATTCCATTTTAGGCGCCGAGAAATGAAGCCGGACGTATATTTTGCACAAGGCAGTAATTGTTGAGCACTAGTTTCTTCTAACCCTTCAATTTTACTAATGGTTTTTAAGAATTAATCAATGGCTTTTATTCTAGCTATTAGGTTAGTATAAAAAGAAAAAAAAGCCCTAAGAAATTTGATATTGGAAAAAAAAAACACAAAATCAGTAGAAATTGTTTACTAGACCACGCTCTCTATTCAAGATTCTACGATAGACCTCCATTGGACTAGTCTTAGTTTCGTGCAAATCTCTCTCATGGTAAATGTTAACATTAATATTAGCCGTTTCCTTATAAGGAAATATTCGTCATTCACGGACCGAGGAGCCAGTACTCATGTCGGTTGAAATTTATATAAAAACCTCTTAAAATATTTTTTCTGAAAAGCAGGTTTCTCAAGTCCTAAAGCCGTCATCCCTGTTTCCAGTATAGATTGAGGTTTCCTTCCTAACCTTTTGTTCGATGTGGTGTGGAATGTGAACATCTTCATTATGTCGTGATTTTCTCTTTGAGCAACATGTGATCTTTATTTTAGCTGCTGTTGAAATTCTTCAAGTGACGTGGTTTCTGCTTTCTCGTACAGTACTTCGTTTCTGATTATACAGTGCCAGTCCACAAGGTTTTAAAAATTATGATCTTCCAAGAGACCCACAGGTTTCACTCCCTCAATATCATTTTTAACCATGACAAGGCAATAAAACAGAAAAAAAGATATAACAGAGAAAGGTGGGGGAAGATTATTAATAGATTTATAAAACTGACAAGAATTCTATAAAGAAAGGGATTTGTACTCACAGGAAAGATACAGTTATTAAAATGAAAAAAAAAAAAAATGGGAAGAAAAATTTAAAAGTAAAATAAAAAAGAGAAAAGGTAATGTAATCCCAAAAAACGCAGGTAACAATTGCAGCTGAGAAGTAGAAAAAAAACAGCCTGCAAAATTTGAAGCGACACAAAAGATGTTGTTATTTCTATGCAGTCGGTCAACGTTCCGAACAAATGCATTAAAAATGTCTACAAAACAAAAATAAAAAAATATAATCATACTAATAACACTCACACGCGAACACACACACAAATAACACGCCTATTTAGCCGTGCTCGTATGTAAATAACTTTTCAAAAGCGCGCCTTTGAAACATTTCCAAAACCTACCAGCAAGTGAATGTGTAACGGACATTTTATTTATTTTTTAGAAATCAGTTCTTATGAGGGTCAATCCTAAACGCAGACTCGACAATTTTAAACAATCTTAAAGAGAAGAGATTTTCTAGATTTACGTTATAATTTTTATTTTTTCTTGTGTAG